TGCGGCTGCAGCTGTGAGTCTGAGGTGGTCGTCTGCAGCACTGGGGCCCCTCAGGGCACTGTCCTCTCACCGTTTCTCTTCACCATCTACATTTCAGACTTCACACACGACACATACAGCTGTCACCTGCAGAAGTTCTCCGACGACTCCGCCATCGTGGGCTGTGTGTCTGAGGGGAACGATCTGGAATATCGGTCGGTGATCACAGACTTTGTCGACTGGTGTGAGCGCAACCACTTGTGCTTGAACACCAGTAAGACCAAGGAGATGGTCATCGATTTCAGGAGAAAACCACTTTCCCACACGCTGCTGAACATCCAGGGGGAGGACATTGAGCTGGTGGACAGCTTCAAGTACCTGGGTGTTCACATTAACAATAAACTGTTCTTGTGCATAACACTAACGCCCTGCACAAGAAGGGCCAAAGTCGCCTCTTCCTTCTGAGGAGGCTGAGGTCCTTCTGAGGAGGCTGAGGTCCTTCGGAGTGATCAGGCCTCTGCTCAGGACTTTTTATAACTCTGTGGTAGCCTCTGCCATATACTACGCTGCCATGTGCTGGGCCCCGGGCAGCACAGAGTGGGACAGGAGCAGACTGAACAAGCTGGTGAGGAGGACCAACTCCACTCTGAGCTGCTCCTTGGACTCTGTGGAGGAGGTGAGGGACAGGAGGGTGCTAGTCAAAGCCACCTCCATCATGAACAACACCTCCCACTACACAGGACTGTAGAGGAACTGAGGAGCTCCTTCAGTGGAAGACTGAGGCACCCTCAGTGTAAAAAGGAGCACTACCGCAGGGCCTTTATCCCCACCGCTGTCAGACTGTACAACAAGTCACTTTAAGTCACTGTATAAGAATGAAAGAACCTGCACTACTATTGACACTGTTTCTGATTGCCACTCTTTAAATTGACACTTTTGTTGTACATAATATATCCTGCATTTAACATGTTTTCACATTTCTTTCATTTTGCACAATCTTGAGTGTTCTATCCATGCCGATGTGACATGTAAATTTCTCTTTTGTGAGATAAATAAAGCATATCTCATAAAGCATAAAGCTACCATTCGTAGAACTTAAGTTGCATTAGGTAACTAACAATTCTACTTCATGGTGCTCCGCCCCTTAGAAGGCTACGCTATGGGTAGGAGAAATGTACAGTAGGTCCCATTTCGTTTTGTCGCCTTTCACGCGTGAATAGCACGAGGCTCACGCGCGAATCACGTGTCTTTTCTTTTTTCCCCCCCAGTGACACTGCAATGAGCAAAACAACCACCAGGGGGCACTTGTGAGCAGGGTTACATTGGCGTCTCATCGCTCTTTCTTCTCTCTTCACCGGACAACTATCTGTGGCTTTAAGCCTAGCGTACTGTACATCGGACTGATTATATCCGTCGCCTACTGTATGAGTTTCTGCCCCGCGCACATCGACAATCTGGTTAAAACGGGCAACTCCTTGTAGCAGGCCAGTCTCTGGAATAACCCGCAGACATTAAAACTACTGCATATAACGTAAACTTTTGCATCACGTTGGTGATCTTTCCAAAAAGAGAGAATATCGTTATGGAAAGAGAAACTATTGGTAATATAATGCTGAACGTTATCTGACTCAAACAGCTCCGCTGGTGTCTCCTCCCACTCAGAAAAAAAGCAGACGCCTTTTCTCTGGCATCTCTAACATTTATAATAAATACATAAATATAACAATCATAATGAAGATGCTTTCAAATAATTTAGCAAGCTGTAATTCATTTATTTTAACTCCCTGCCAAACTTCTCTCGCTGCTCTCTCCTCCGCAAACCACTAAATGAGGAAAAGGGAATATTCACTCAATCTATTTTGAATGTTACACATACAATATTAATATAGTCTAAGCACGTGTAACACCTGTAGCCCGTGTATTTACCACAGACTGTAAGTATTAAAGTAATGAGGCCCCTGATTTAGGCCTCTGCTGTGAGGCCCACAGTCATCAGTCTCGGTGCCTCTAGATCACACGTCTGTCCTCACGTCTGTCCTCGGACTGGAGTGTTCTGAGGCTTTAAGCGGGGAGTCAGGAAGGAGCGATCCTGTTTGTCAGCATGATTTTTTTGTTTAACAGCCTCCCTGCGCGATTGCAAATGTACTCAAGGGACTCCCATACCGTGGCTCACATATATATTATTATATAGGGATCAGGAGCTTTCTGACCCGACCCACCCGCACCTGACATGACTCATATTTTTGAGGCATCCAACCCGCCCGAAACCGCGGGACCCGCGGGTTGACTGCGGGTTTTGGGCCGACCCCCGCACCTCGCATGTCCTGTTCAGGGCTGCAGGAGCAATTGTCCATTATTTTAATTGGACTTCTGGTCCATGCAGCACCAGAAGTCGCATTAATGGTGAGTGTTATAACAACATTATTTAAAAGAATAAATTCAGAGGCTTATTATATATATGATTCGAAGTTTGCGTGTTTCCGTTAGACTTTTTCTGATGCGCAAATTCAATTTTTTAAACATGATGCCAGAGTGTGAACATGTTTATTGTTGTCCAAATCTTGAATTTCATGCGTGTTTTGGCGTGTTGTGCTGAAGGTTGAAATGAATAGTTGCTAGACTGTAGTAAACTTGTAAAACGATATTGCTAATACAAATGTATGATGGGTGGGAAACTTTCTTTCTCCGTGTTTTACAAATATAATGGAGTTGGCTGATATTTTTCCTCCCTTTACATCTTATTTTTCATGTCAGAGAATAAAAATAACAAAACCCATCCCCCATGATGCTTATTTTATGATGATTTGTCCTAGCCTGATTTATTCAGCTTTGAACTCAAAAAAACAGGCGGAATTGGAGTTTTTACAGATTTGTTCATTATGATCAGTCAATTGAAAAACGAAACAAATCCCATCTGCTAAAATCTTAGTTACTAATATGCAGTGATGGGCAGTAGCCACACATTTTAATCTGGCGCAATCCATTATTTTTATTCCGTTGCCCAAAATATAGGCAATTCTGGCCATTATTATGAACAACATGTTAAAGCTGCGTAGGAACTGAACTGTATTGAACTAGATTGACCACAGGAATGTCGAAAATCCAGTTCTTCCTCACATATGCAAAACATCTTATCTCATGATTGGGACGGGACCCGAGAACAACAGCTATTCCTCCTCTTAAGGACTGGCAATGCTCTCAAAACATTCACAACAAAGTATCCTTTTTCATTTTATTTTTAAGAAAGTTCAGCGTGAGGTGGCCCGTAGGTCCCAGAGGAGGAGAGCGCAGTCAGGCCAGGCTCGCCTCACACATCTTAAAGCTGCTTTCAATATATTTTCAAATCTGTTTTCCTTTTCTCCATAGCATGTCCGTAACAAAAGTTCTCATAATCTGAAGTCAGCGTATTTACATGGTTTTATGAAACAGAATTCTGAGAAAAACAGGTTTAAAGATCGACATTCTAAACATAATCATCACAGTCACATATAACATGTAAAATTTGAATTACTCTGTTATGGCACACTTGTTTTAGTCACTATGTTGTAGAATATTAAAAAGATGTTACTTTGGCACCAATTAAACACACAACACTCATGAATTAGTCGAAAATCAAGAATGTATTGATTCTTTCAATATTCAATGGATTGAATTTTGACTTCCTTCTTTTTCTTTCTCTTTATAATTTACTGAAAATTAGATATGTATTAGACATTGCCAGTATTATTCTATCAAATCACGCAGTCTAAATATCCACAACCACCAAGCATTTTTAATGCAAGGAGAAACTTAGGTAACTTTAAACACAAATAAAACAAATGGACCTGTCCGACTCGAGTGTCTATGCTTCGTGTGTCTCTGGTTCTGTCCAAGTGTCTATGATCCGCGTGTCTCGCGTGTCTCCGCCTGTCTGGGTTCTGTCTGCGTATATGTAAATGTAAATGTCTGTCTGTGGTTCTGTTCGGGTGTCTATGGTCCTGTCTGTGGTTCTGTTCGTGTGTCTATGGTCCGCGCTCGGAGCCCAGACGGCAGTGCGTTCACTGAGCTGTCAGAGCGGGGGTCACAGCAGCTGCTTCCGGGGCCAGAGCGGAGGATGTAACGTAACGTTCGGTTTATCAAAACATATCACAATATTTAACGTATAACACTAGTGAATTTCACCTAGATTTTTTCAGACATTAAAGACAAGATGTTATATAATAATTGTTTAATGAAAAAACAATTTTGCCAAAAAAATGACAATCGACCTATTTTTACTGTTTACTCGGAACGTGCCAGCGTGACATCCGACGGGTTTTCCCAGATCGCATCACATATATACGTTAATGCAATTTAATTATAAAGATTAACATTAGTACAAAATATGTATATGTTGTCTGTTATGCTCTTACTTTTAAAAAGCATTCAATAGCAACACATATACATTCACATGCACGGCTTGAACACACAGCCAATTTTACACATTTCCTTTTGACAAGGAAAGAAGATAACAATCTGATAACGTTACGTAATTGCACACAAGCAACCAAAAGATGTGCAACCAAAATTGCCTCAGACAAGAATCGAACCTGGGTTCTCCAGGTCCCAGTCTTCAATGCTAACCATTCGGCCAACATAGCATCACTGGGATAGTCAGGTTTGCACGCAGTATGATACCTGAGCGTCTAAGTCGCTGGCAGAGCTAAAGCGGACTTAACCTGCCACCTTGTGGCGATAAGATGTAATATTTTTTACGCAGCTGCGTGATTCCCGAAAAGCGTGAGTGAAGACGACAAAACGAAATGGGACCTACTGTACTCCCATCAGGCCAGCGTAGAGTGATTGGAGCCCTGCCCGAAAAATCCTCAGCACCACCAAGGTGAAGGCCTCAGGGCAGGAAAGAGAAACTAACGCAGTGTTGGAAGGCCGCTCCTATCAAGGACGCCCCAGACACACTGACAAAACTTCGAACCAAGTACACAGAACCAGGCCGCTCCTAACAAGGACGTCTTAGGTTCCGTCAAGACGTCCCCTGTAATCAGTGCAGACGCATTCCCAGGGCGCCTCCAAAGGCTACCGAAGGGAAGACCGGAACGTCCCAGAGGGAGAAGGCAGGGCAGATCACAGTCCTTGAACGCCCCACTGAAGATGCTGCCCCTGAAAAAACATCCTTAAGGCAATAGCCCACCCCTGGGCGCTCCTAACGAGAGCATCCAGGAGACGGCCCAGACCACCAATATGGTCGCTTCTGTCAAGAGCACCTCACGTTCCCATTGAAGTCCCGGCGTTGAGAACGGAGTGGACCACCGACCCTTCCGACACATCAACCAGATAAGACTGAGCGAAAGAGGAAGACGAAGCCCAGGACGCCGCCAGGCAAACGTCCTCCACTGTGGCCCCCCGGAGCAGAGCCGTGGAGGCTGCCACCCCCCGTTTGGAGAGCGCCCTGAATCCCACCGGGGGAACTAGGTCCTGAGCTTGGTACGCCATGCGGACCGCTCGGGAAATCCAATTCGCCAGCCGTTGAGGCGTCAACGGGGCGCCCCTTGTTCCTAGGACCCAAACATACGAACAGCTGGTCAGAACGCCTGAACGCAGCTGTAGCATCCAAATAGCATCTCAGCATCCTGATTGGGCATAACAGGTGCTGCCTCTCATCTTCCACTGAGGCATGAGGGGGTGGACAGAAGGGTCTGATCCTGATGACTCTCGACCTGAAGGTCGAAAAGGCAACCTTGGGGAGGAAGGCTGGGTTAGGCCAGAGCTCCACCAGACCATCCCCTGCACCAAACGATAGACAGGCCGGACTAATCAAGAGAGCGCACAGATCCCCCGCCCTCTTTGTTGTCTTAGAGGGCACGCACTCCAGACTAGCCTGGGTCACCGGCTCAAAAGGAGGCCCCGACAGGCCCCTGAGAACCACTCTCAGGTCCCAGACCGGGGGTGTCCTCCTGAGGACAGGCCTCTTCCTGAGGGCCCCCCGAAGGGAACGTTTGACCAAAGGAAAAGGTCCCGAACCCCCTGTGTCCCGAGGCAATAGCTGACGCGAACACCGCTAGGTTGCCGGCAGTTCTGCCCCTTCTCCAACAATTCCTCAAGAAACCCCAGGACACCCTCCAGAGGGCAAGACATGGGGTCCCAAGAGCGCGTCGCGCACCAATCGCCAAACACCTTCCATCTACAGCCATAGGCTATGATGGTAGAAGGGGTGTGTGGTCCGTGGCCATCTCCCTGGACGCGGCCAGAATTAACCCATCGTCTATGTAGGCTAATATCCTGACTCCCGCGCGTCTGAGCGGCTCCAGAGCCGCCTCTACGCACTTGGAGAAGGTGCGCGGAGCCAGAGCGTACCCGAATGGGAGCCGGCAATACTCATAGCACTTCCCCCCCACTGCGAAGCGCAGGAAGCGTCTGTGTTCCGGCACCATCGCAACGTGGAAGTAGGCGTCTGTCAGATCTATGACAGACATCCAATCTGCGGGCCTGACGCACTCCAGAAGCTGCTTCGTAGGGGGCATGCGGAAGGGCCGCCTGGAGATGCTCTGGTTCAGTGTGCGCAGATCCAGGATGGGGCGCATCCCCCCTGATATCTTGGGCACCAGGAAATATGGGGAGTAGAGACCCCTGGAGGCATCGTGCAGGTCGACCTGGACCGCAGCGCCTCTTCTCAATAGAGAGGCCACCTCTGAAGGAGGGCCTCCTCTGTTCCGTGACCCCCGGAGCCAGCCGCACAAACGCCCTGGAACAGCGGTGGCCTCTGGGCGACCTGCAGGGCACACCCCCTGCGTAGCGTCCTCTTTAACCAAGCGTCTGAGAGGAGCCCCTGTTCTCTCCAGACCTGGTAGAAATTCGTGAGAGGGGGTACGGAGACTGGAACACTTGCCTCCGATCCCCCCCACCCTCCTGGTGCTCCGACAGGAGAGGGGGGGGGGTGTTCGAAAGGGCTGGAGGTCTGCCCATGGAGCGCTGCGTGAGACAGATTGACCCTGATCCTCTGTCCCACTCATAGCAGCCTGTCGCTTACGCTTGGGTGCTAGACAGGGCTGAAGGTCCGCCCGTGGAGCGCTGCGTGAGACAGATGAGCCCAGGCCCTCTGTCTCACTAATATCAGCCTGCCGCTTATGCCCGGGTGCTCGGCAGAGATGGAAGTCTGTCCGTGTAGCGCTGCGTGAGACAGAAGGACCCTGGTCTTTTCTTTCTCCCTTCTTTAAAAAGCGCTAGACCTGCTTCGACCACCAGGGGTTTGGGCCAGTCACGCGTAACGTAGTGGAACACCGGGTCCAGCATAGGCACAAGCCTCTTCCTCCCTCGCTCCGGAGCCCACACTGAGGTGAACCTCTCTCTGCCTGAGTGGGCTGCGGTGGGAGGGAAAACCCTGCGCCTCACTGAAGAAAAGAGGCGGGGCAAGCAGCCGAGCGGGAACGGACAGGCCCCTCGCTCCATGAAATGGCCTCCTCCCGACTGACAAGAGACCCCTTGTCTCTGACAACTCGGACTCCATAACCCCGCCTCCTCACTCCCTGGGTGCAGGAGGTAGGTCGAGAGTGACAAAATCAACCTCAGACTCCTCTTCCTGAGAGGAGTTCGGGCGAGACTCCGCGGCGCTAGCATGAGCTCTCTCTCTCCTCCCTGCGGAGATAGCAGCACGCCCTGTAGGCAGCGCTCTCCCCAAAATGGCCTCCTCCCGCGTGACAAGAGACCCCTAGTCTTTGTCGACTTGGTCTCCACAGCACAAACTCCCACAGCCTTGGTGCAGGAGGCAGGTCGAGAGGGCCATAAAGAACCTCAGACTCCTCTTCCCGAGGGGAGTCTGGGCTAGTCTCCACGGCGCTAACATGAGCCACGCGGTGCTCTCGCTCCATCAGACTTTCCAATATTTTGATTTTAGAACCCTTGTTTGAATAGTAATTAAAAATAAATGCATAGATAACCGGGGACAATATTTACTTAATTTACAAATTCCCGCCCTCGATCAGACAGGATACGTTTTGGGCACCCATGCCTGTATATTATAAAGCAAAGTCTTTGCCCAACCTCTGCAGCCATCTTGGTTTTTAATGGGAAAGCCTCAACCCACTTTGAAAAATAATCCGTGGCTGTATGGTGGTTGGATAGGGACAATAAATACAACTACTTTTATTGTTTAGAGTGGTGCAACTGAACCCAGAGACTTTCCCTCACGTTGACATTGGTCACACTCAGAAATCTTAAAAAGAACAGACATTAGGGAAGGGAATTGTACAAATAAAAGGAAACAACATACCACATTGTCAATCATCACAGTCATGCCATGCCAGTAAAACCTGGAACAAATGTCAGATTTTTCTCATGCCACTGTGGCCTCCCGTGGGTGTAGCATGAAACTCTTTAAATAGTTTCTGTGCCTCGTGCCTTGTTCTAATGGCTCTTCTTTTGTCATGGAACAGCTCACCATCTATAACAACTGAATCATATTAAAACAACAGAAGAACAATAAGACATGTTTATGTTTACAGTAAATTTATGGGAGTAATTCCTCAAGTTGTCTGTCTGAAATGTATTCATTAATGTTATCTGTGAGGAGAAGAAACATTTCATCCCATTTATCCTCCATTATGATTATGAAAGACAAAATCGTGGTCGGGTGGACGGGCAAGGGTCAAAAACGGTTTATCAATCAGTGTGGCGTACAAATCAGAGAGGATGAGACAGAAATCGAGGTCAGGTGGAGAGGCAGGAGTCAAAACACAGAATCAATCTAAAGCGGATGTGAAAACAGGGAAGTGGACAAAATGGCAAGAAAGAGGTGCAAGGATGGCTCTGGGGAGAAAGAGAGAAGATGTTGTTGAATGACTACCAAATAATAACGTTAAAAACAGATCAAAAATACACACAAAAATATCTTATTCAAAAAAATGGAAATCTCTGACTTTGTGTTAATATTTAATTCCTTTCACCATTAGATATCAAGAGATAAGACACTATGGAAGAGGATTAGTGATGAGGCTACATCCATGTGAAGCAACACGTATAAATGACACGTAATTTATGTTTTTTACTAGCACATAATATTACCATCTCTCCACGAGCAAATAGGAGAAAATTAATACATTTCGGGAGGGATTATGACCACGTATTCATTCATACATGACGCGTGTACGTAACATTTGTCCCCATCATGTAATTTCGAACCCAGGAGTTTGGTACAAAGTTGAATAAGTAATTTAATATTCTGTATAAAATTTCGGTTGCTTCGAGAAAAACGAAGCATAATATCCCTATGCATGCACTTAACTCTAAAATAACTACTATATATTTAAAATGAATGACTGGTAGCGTTACATAGCATGTTGGTCCATCAGACGCAGCTGTAAACGACATTTACTGAAAAGTTGTTTACACAGCGTTTGTTTCACTTAATTTTGATGTATCTAAGCCCCTATCAAATCACAGGATAAAGTTTGCTGATAGAATGTTAAAGTAATACAAATATATGCCCTTTGAAACTTACGTGAGTGTTCAACTTCGGTGAAGAGAAAACAAATCTGATTTGCGCATGCGCAGAACCTCAACAAAATGGGGAAAATCTCGATCTAATTCAATATTTCGTTTGAACACACTATTGTTAATCATATTGAATACAGTACGATACATGCATTAAATTGAATTTAATATTTCCATTATCAACCCGACAGACCAGTTGTAAGCATGGGTCTATTATATTAACTGGATAGGGTATCGCTAGCTTGTAGCTGAATAACTCATGTGCTCGGGGGATTCTCGCGGTACTGCAGACTGAACCAGACTGAACCAGACTAAATTCACGTGGGCTACCCAGAAATTTACCCCATAGAACTCAATGCATATTAAAACAGCTCGACCTCAGCTGACAGAGAACCTGACAGAGAACCTACAGCTTTAATAAAGATCGGATTTTGTGTGGATGTTAGTGTCCCTTGTCATCCTGAACTTTTTTTCTTCTTAAATCCTTCGGTTTTGTTTAAATCCACACTTTAGTGCCACAAACTCTGCTCCTCTGGCTCTCGCTCTAACCCCCGCTCTGATGAACTGCTCTGATTGGTCAGAGCGCGGCCGAGCCCCTCTGTGCACGTGCGTGAGACCCACACACGCATATTTGGCGCAAAACATCATGGGAGATAATCCACTGTGCAGAACCGGGAGGACCAGACGATGCCCAAATACAGGCGAGTTTCCCATAGATCTTTGAGAGTTCCCGGCGAGTTCCGCTAATATGTCAGCGACCGTGTCGGCACAAAGCGCCACTGAGCACAACCATTCATTTGAATACGGCGCCATCTTGGATCGCCGGGGCTTGGTTGTAAGCTGTAGAGTTGCCCCAGGTTGCTACTAAACTTTACACAAAACGTTGACTCTTAAAACCCACATGTGACGACACGGAACCATCAACATCTCGCCTCAAATTGCATTAAAAGTGACATTCGTGTCTTAATTCGTTCGTATTTTAACTTTTAAAGCAATTCACGGTCCGCCATCTTGGTTTTCTTCGGCTGCCGTGAGACGCGCATGCACAGGTTTGCATTACATCATAAACAGCTGAGGCAGTGTAAACCGGCACTGCCATCTTCCACCAGTCCCAGGCACCAAGCAAACCCACCGCAGCAGACCATCCGCACAGAAGAGCCAGCCTCCAGCCTCCCAACAGCTTCATGAGCCACAATCAACAAATATGCTTCATCTCTCTACACAAAAATATGTATAATATCTCCTTGAGCACAGAGCACAAATTAAATTTGATTTATTATATTGGATGGCACTCTTCTTGATCCCGCGCTGCAGGATCGCTCCACGCTCCCGAGGTGCGTCCTTCATGTATTGTCAAAGCAAACTGACGCTTTGGATGCGTTTGGTGTGAACACAAGTCGAGCAGATTATCACCCTTGTGACTGCCTCACTCTACCTCTAGACAAAGGAAGCATTTTATTAAGTTTTTGTTTTAACAGCAAGTCGGAATAAAGTCAAACACTCTCACTAGACCGTCAAGGAACACTACCGTGACGTCGGCCAATCTCCTCCACACCTCAAGATCCACCATAGTACTCACCCACCATAGTACTCACCCACCATAGTACTCACCCACCATAGTACCCTCCCACCATAGTACTCACCCACCATAGTACCCTCCCACCATAGTACTCATCCACCATAGTACTCACCCACCATAGTACTCACCCACCATAGTACCCTCCCACCATAGTACTCACCCACCATAGTACTCACCCACCATAGTACTCACCTTCCATAGTACTCACCTTCCATAGTACTCACCTTCCATAGTACCCACCCACCATAGTACTCACCCACCATAGTACTCACCCACCATAGTACCCTCCCACCATAGTACTCACCCACCATAGTACTCACCCACCATAGTACTCACCCACCATAGTACTCACCTTCCATAGTACTCACCTTCCATAGTACTCACCTTCCATAGTACTCACCTTCCATAGTACCCACCCACCATAGTACTCACCCACCATAGTACTCACCCACCATAGTACCCACCCACCATAGTACTCACCCAATCTTCATGTCAATGTCATGACAGTCACCAGATGTTTTATTTTTACATTCACAGATCGTTCTTATTACCTCTGCCTCTTCAACGTGATCAAAAAACATTGACCCAAGGTTTCTTTTTATATGGCTAACTGGATTGTTTCCTCTATTGGGAACCAATTCAGAACCTCTAGCACAGTGGTTCTCAAAGTGGGGTATGCGTACCTGTTTGTCTGTCTCTGTGTATCACACAGTCAGGGGGGTAGCACCAAATTCAGGGCCCCGGGTACAAACAGTCTCAATGGGCCCCCACTACACGTTTCTTATATATATATATATATAAATTGAATTAGTTAATACAATTCTGATTCATGTCCTTTGGTTTTATTATCATCAATATTGTTGATGGCCATTAGCGGACTTGGCATACTGGAGATAATTTGGGAATGGTTTGCCCTCCATATCTTTGGATATGGTATTGCCTGTTTTTGAACCACCATCACTGGCTAGTAGATGAACAATTCTTTTCCTTTGTTTATCGGTGAGATTCTCTGGCCATAATCCTGGGTCCTCTGACAATCCCTCATCATTATTACTCTGTCTCTTGGTGTCGTCTCTTTCCTCCTCAATCCTCTCCACATTCTCATCACTTTCGCTTTCCCTTTCATCACTTAATTCAGTTTCTACATCCTCTTCTAATTCTGCCTCTGCCTCTGCTACATGGACACAATACAGACAAAAATGATATAGAATTAGTGTATACAGTAAAATGTATAAAGTAATAACTTACTAACTTATTGAAGTAAGTAAGTCAGTGACTGATAAATGCTCACCATGCCTCACTGTCAAACCCTCACTACTAGTGCCTTCATCTGGCCATGATGCTTCTCTTCCTGAAGCGCGTGTGTGTGCCTTTCTGTAGGACCTTATATATACAGGTGTGTGCCTTTCTGTGGGACCTTATATATACAGGTGTGAGCCTTTCTGTGGGACCTTATATATACAGGTTTGTGTGCCTTTCTGTAGGACCTTATATATACAGGTGTGTGCCTTTCTGTAGGACCTTATATATACAGGTGTGTGCCTTTCTGTGGACCTTATATATACAGGTGTGTGCCTTTCTGTAGGACCTTATATATACAGGTGTGTGCCTTTCTGTAGGACCTTATATATACAGGTGTGTGCCTTTCTGTGGGACCTTATATATACAGGTGTGTGCCTTTCTGTGGGACCTTATATATACAGGTGTGTGCCTTTCTGTGGGACCTTATATATACAGGTGTGAGCCTTTCTGTAGGACCTTATATATACAGGTGTGTGCCTTTCTGTGGGACCTTATATATACAGTAAAGGTGGACTCCAATGAAGCAGTAGAAGCATCTCAGGATGATCCGTGGATCCACCTGAGCTCAGTCTGAGCTTCACGGCAAAGACTGTGAATACTTATGTACATGTGGTTTCTTAGGCCCTGTCTACACGTAGCAGGGCATTTATAAATCCGCCCTCCGCCTAAAAAAAAACTTCTGTCCACACAGCCTCGGTTTTTTAAAAAACGGCATCCACACCTAACCGCATACATGCGTTGTCAATTACATTTCAAACCTACAAACCTACCTTCCTCCGGGAGGACGACTTCCATCTCAAAGTTCTCCCACCAGCTGGCAGTGCGTCCCGGTCTGACCCAAAATTGCCGTTGCCGTCTTTGACGAGGAACATGTCTTGGACGAGGGATGGTTATTTGGCGGAAAATAGCCGACCTTAAAGTGCTCCTTCGTCTGTGCTCTTCAACATGAAGCAGTATTTGAGCTTGTAAAAACAAGCAAGCAAAAAGTGCCTGAACAATCGTTAAAACAAAAGCGGTTTTGATGGCCTCCATGTTGTTTCTGATGTAAACACAGGTCGCGCGTGTGACGTCAGAGCAGCACGCTGGTAGTGACGTACAGCCGAATACTCCGGTTATTTATGTCCACACTCAAACGCATAACCGGAGAATTCCCAAATCTTCACTTTGGCCGGAGTTTTCAGAAACCTTCGTTTTTATCGACAGAAAACTCCGGGTTTGTGTGGATGATAGGCCAGATCGTAGGAAAATATCTTCGGTTTGTGAGATACCCTGCTACGTGTAGACGGGGCCTTAGTTTTTTTTATTTTTAATACATTTGCAAGCATCTCAAAAAAAACGTTTTCATGTTGTCATTATGGTGTTGTGTGTAGAATTGCGAGGAAAAAAAGTAATTTAATCCATTTTGAAATAAGGCTTTAACATAACAAAATGTGGAAAAAGTGAAGCACTATAAAGTGAATTTAGGTAAAGGGGGATTATTCGCTTGACTTCTTCCCACTCCCCAGCTTTAACAGGAGTGGGAAAAAAAGAAAACCCTTCAATATATGTCCATTTCTATCATGTGTATTATATGATTGCTGTTAAATCTATAATTGATTCCTGTTTATAAGCTTGAAACAAATACAATCAATCAATCAATAAAAAGTTGGAGCCAAACTTCACCATCACAATTGGTTTGAATGTTTTCAAATCGTCTTAAATCAGAGCAGCTCTCGCACAGAGCCGCTCTCGCACAGAGGCGCTCTCGCATAGAGGCGCTCTCGCACAGAGCAGCTCTCGCACAGAGCCGCTCTCGCACAGAGCCGCTCTCGCACAGAGCCGCTCTCGCACAGAGCAGCTCTCGCACAGAGCCGCTCTCGCACAGCTCTCGCACAGAGACGCTCTCGCACAGAGGCGCTCTCGCACAGAGCAGCTCTCGCACAGAGCAGCTCTCGCACAGAGCAGCTCTCGCACAGAGCCGCTCTCGCACAGAGCCGCTCTCGCACAGAGCCGCTCTCGCACAGAGCAGCTCTCGCACAGAGGCGCTCTCGCACAGCTCTCGCACAGAGGCGCTCTCGCACAGAGCCGCTCTCGCACAGAGCAGCTCTCGCACAGAGCAGCTCTCGCACAGAGCCGCTCTCGCACAGAGCCGCTCTCGCACAGAGCAGCTCTCGCAGAGCCGCTCTCGCACAGAGCAGCTCTCGCACAGAGCCGCTCTCGCACAGAGCCGCTCTCGCACAGCTCTCGCACAGAGCCGCTCTCGCACAGCTCTCGCACAGAGCAGCTCTCGCACAGCTCTCGCACAGAGGCGCTCTCGCACAGAGGCGCTCTCGCACAGAGCCGCTCTCGCACAGAGACACTGATTCATTTGAAAGTTCTACATTTCGGAGCCTGCACTTTTCTCTCAGTCTGTGGTTATGGTGAGTATCTCTGTCAAGGAAAAAAATCATGGAACTGTTAGAATGGATCAAATCTAAGGTTAAAGGAGCAGTATATATAAATCTGGCCAAAAGTGGTACTGCAGCCTCTCCCACTCTCCCTGACTCAGGTTGCCAGATATGCAGACGAATCCAGCTGGGACCATAACAGCTGAATAGACAAGAGTTTTGTCAACAACAAATCTATAACCAACACCTTTTTCACAAAATCCTGGTTTTATTCCTTGTTTTGTCGACCTTTTTTAGATCTGAGCCACATGGTACTTTACCGGTGAGATTAGCTCCACGCAGTGAGTTCTAGCACAGAATTAGGGGCTGGAAAACTAATTTAGAAATCCAAATATCTCTGAACGACTGTTATCAGTTAAAGAAGTATTGGAAAAGAACATGTTTTATTAATGCCTTTGGACAGATTAGGGGCTTTAAGATGACTTGACATGAAAATTGTATGTATTGCTACTTAAAGTTGTGTTAATTCTATGAACAGTGATTATAAACGGGTCTCTCAAGTGGACAAAACCAAATTCTAAAGGCGGTAAGTGAGATCACATTATGACTCATCCGTAACAATGATTCATAACAGCATCAGTTATTTATAGCTTGTCTAATTGTAGTGTCACTGACAGCTCATTAATTATAGTTGAGTTTGTTTGTGTCATCAGCAAAGAGGAGGAAGTTAATTTGTTTACATTTTTTCATTTCATTTCTGTACATAATAAATATTGTGGGTCCCAGTATCGACCCCTGAGGTACCCCACAGGTCTGTCCAACAGTCTACTGAGACTGAGTCGATGAAACTGAAGTAGATCTGTTTTAACTAAGCCCATATAGACTCTGATTCCTTGATTTTGTCCGTCTGCCCCAGGGCAGATGTGGCTATAGTAGTAGTAGTAGTAGTATAGTTTAGACCACCATCATCTGCATCAACAGCAGTTGTTATTTACCCTGTAAAACCCCTAACTGTATGGCCTGACCCCTGATCCTGCTGTATTTGGACTATCATCAGAGATAATCAGTAAGGAACATGAGCCTGTGCTGCCCTCTGCTGGAAGCAACGAGAACAGCAGCTCATTTTAACACATTTTATTTAAATTAAAAACAAAAGGGACTAAACTTCAAGCAACACGTAAATATATCAGATAGCAGCAGTGGTAGTAGTAGTACTGGTCGTAGTAATAGTAGTAGTAAGTAGTTCATAGTAAATTTGAAAAGGTATATAACGCAAACACGATGTAAAGAACTGGACCCAAACCCCAGTGATTGGGAACCACTGTCTCTTGAGCTGAAGGTGTCCACGTGGCACCCCTGATCCCTGGTCTGTAAATAAATACTACTACTACTGCTACAACTACTCCTACTGCTGCTGCTGCTACTGCTACTGCTGCTGCTGCTGCTGCTGCTGCTGTACATCAGAGGAAATATATAAGGACCACACGTCTGAGTTTAGCAGCAGAAGTAGTTTAGTAGAAACAAAAAGTAGTAGTAGAAGTAGAAGTAATAGTAGTACTAGTAGTAGTAGTAGTAGTAGAAATAGTAGTAGTGGTAGTAGTAGAAGTAGTAGTAGTAGTAGCAGTAGTAGTAATATAGGTAGTAGTAGCAGTAGTAATATAAGTAGTAGTAGCAGTAGTAATATAAGTAGTAGCAGTAGTAGTAATATAGGTAGTAGTAGCAGTAGTAATATAAGTAGTAGTAGTAGTAGTAATATAAGTAGTAGTAGCAGTAGTAATATAAGTAGTAGTAGCAGTAGTAATATAAGTAGTAGTAGTAGTAGTAATATAAGTAGTAGTAGCAGTAGTAATATAAGTAGCAGTAGTAGTATAAGTAGTAGTAGTAGTAGTAATATAAGTAGTAGTAGCAGTAGTAATATAAGTAGTAGTAGCAGTAGTAGTATAAGTAGTAGTAGTAGTAGTAATATAAGTAGTAGTAGCAGTAGTAGTAGCAGTAGTAATATAAGTAGTAGTAGCAGTAGTAGTATAAGTAGTAGTAATAGTAGTAGTATAAGTAGTAGTAGCAGTAGTAGTATAAGTAGTAGTAATATAAGTAGTAGTAGCAGTAGTAGTATAAGTAGTAGTAGTAGTAGTGTATGTTATGGAAACAGCACAACTCACAGATCCCCTGTATTTCTCCAGAGACACCAGTTTTCCGCGGCTGTTCACCACTTTGAAAGAATAAAAGTCCCGTTGTTTGGCGTGAACGCGCACAACCGTGAGCGCGAGCACGACCGCGAGCACGCGCAACAGCATCTTCACACTTATATCAGTATCGATCAACCGGTGATCGGGATCGATGCGGCTCTGGGGCCACGTAGAAGAGAGAGGGAGGGGCCCTGCAGAGGAGAGGGGCCTTCACAGTAAAAGAGCCCCCTCCTCCACAATAAAAGCCTCCAACTCACTGACACGGGGAGAACATGCAAACACAAACACAGGGAGAACATGCAGACACTGACACAGGCAGAACATGCAGACACAGACACGGGGAGAAACTACAAACACAGGTAGAACGTGCAAACACACACACGCAGGCACGCACTTATTTGGTAAAAAATAGTTTGGTGTTTAGTCAACCTTTGAACACTGACTGTAATAATTAGATAAATAATTAGTTGGTTTACTTGAATACAGCGCCCTGACCACGCCCCCTTTTGACGTCATCATAGTGTCCCCAGAATGCACCGCGGTAAGTCCAACATGGCGGCGTTCTAAAAAGCACCGCAGAGAAGAAAACGCCGAGACCCACAGACCCCACCGAGCCCAGAGAGGCCAGGCCGCTCTGCGAGCCTAACAGGCCGGCTACAGGCGACGGCAGGCTCCGCTGTACGCGCCGGAGGACAGGGTGTGTGCGCGTGCGTGTGCGTGCGTGTGTGTTTACAGTATATGTGCGGGTGCATGTGTGTATACAGTACGCGTGCATGTATGTTTGTATACAGGGTAAGTGTGTGTGTGTAGTATGAGTATTTGTGTGTCTGTTTTCTGTATGTATGTGTGTGTTACTGTGTGTCTACATTGTGTGTGTGTCTGTTTACTGTATGTATGTATATGTGTGTGTGTGTTACTGTGTGTATGTGTGTCTACATTGTGTGCGTGTGTTACTGTGTGTATGTGTGTCTACATTGTGTGTGCGTGTTTATTGTGTGTATGTGCTACACTGAGAATCAAAACAAAGCAACACGTTGTTATCATCAGTGTTGGGAAAGTGACTTCAGAAACATAATCCATTAAGTGTTATTCTTATTGTTACTTCAGTAAAGTGTTACTACAGTAAAGTGTTACTACAGTAAAGTGTTACTACAGTAAAGTGTTACTACAGTAAAGTGTTACTACAGTAAAGTGTTACTACAGTAAAGTGTTACTACAGTAAAGTGTTACTACAGTAAAGTGTTACTTCAGTAAAGTGTTACTACAGTAAAGTGTTACTACAGTAAAGTGTTACTACAGTAAAGTGTTACTACAGTAACGTGTTACTACAGTAAAGTGTTACTTCAGTAAAGTGTTACTACAGTAACGTGTTACTACAGTAAAGTGTTACTTCAGTAAAGTGTTACTACAGTAAAGTGTTACTTCAGTAAAGTGTTACTACAGTAAAGTGTTACTACAGTAAAGTGTTACTACAGTAAAGTGTTACTACAGTAAAGTGTTACTACAGTAAAGTGTTACTACAGTAAAGTGTTACTTCAGTAAAGTGTTACTACAGTAAAGTGTTACTACAGTAACGTGTTACTACAGTAAAGTGTTACTTCAGTAAAGTGTTACTACAGTAACGTGTTACTACAGTAAAGTGTTACTTCAGTAAAGTGTTACTACAGTAAAGTGTTACTACAGTAAAGTGTTACTACAGTAAAGTGTTACTACAGTAAAGTGTTACTTCAGTAAAGTGTTACTACAGTAAAGTGTTACTTCAGTAAAGTGTTACTACAGTAAAGTGTTACTTCAGTAAAGTGTTACTACAGTAAAGTGTTACTTCAGTAAAGTGTTACTACAGTAACGTGTTACTACAGTAAAGTGTTACTTCAGTAAAGTGTTACTACAGTAAAGTGTTACTTCAGTAAAGTGTTACTTCAGTAAAGTGTTACTACAGTAACGTGTTACTACAATAAAGTGTTACTACAGTAAAGTGTTACTTCAGTAAAGTGTTACTACAGTAAAGTGTTACTACAGTAAAGTGTTTCTTCAGTAAAGTGTTACTACAGTAAAGTGTTACTTCAGTAAAGTGTTACTACAGTAAAGTGTTACTTCAGTAAAGTGTTACTTCAGTAAAGTGTTACTACAGTAAAGTATTACTACAGTAAAGTGTTACTACAGTAAAGTGTTACTACAGTAAAGTGTTACTACAGTAAAGTGTTACTACAGTAAAGTGTTACTTCAGTAAAGTGTTACTACAGTAAAGTGTTACTTCAGTAAAGTGTTACTACAGTAAAGTGTTACTTCAGTAAAGTGTTACTTCAGTAAAGTGTTGCTACAGTAAAGTATTACTACAGTAAGGTGTTACTACAGTAAAGTGTTACTACAGTAAAGTATTACTACAGTAAAGTGTTACTACAGTAAAGTGTTACTTCAGTAAAGTGTTACTTCAGTAAAGTGTTACTACAGTAAAGTGTTACTACAGTAAAGTGTTACTACAGTAAAGTGTTACTACAGTAAAGTATTTCTACAGTAAAGTGTTACTACAGAAAAGTGTTACTACAGAAAAGTGTTACTTCAGTAAAGTGTTACTACAGTAAAGTGTTACTACAGTAAAGTGTTACTACAGTAAAGTGTTACTACAGTAAAGTGTTACTACAGTAAAGTGTTACTACAGTAAAGTATTACTACAGTAAAGTGTTACTACAGTAAAGTGTTACTACAGTAAAGTGTTACTACAGTATTACTGTCTCTGATTGTACAGATTTACTGTACTTTATTACTTTGTATTTATTTTTGAAGAAAGTAACTTTAAACTAAATGTATCTCTGATACGATATGATGCTCTATATAAATAAATAAATACAATCTGAATGTAGCTTGTGATGCTAGCTTGAGACGGATGGAGCTCTTGGTTTGAACATAAACTGTTATGTCCCACATCTTTAACAAACTAAATAACAGTCTGTACTGTTGTCCACATGGTTCAGCCTCAGCGTCTTCTACCAGGAAGGATTTTTTTTTTTCCAAATTTAAGTTGGGATTAAAATACAATATAACGCACCCTTATTTGGAATGTCTTACTTTTTGTGGTTATGCAGTAATGTAACACATTACAGTAGTTACAGGTACTTTTGTAACTCATTACTCCAACACTGGTTATCGTTCTTACACCTCTGACAGTATCAACAGTGGTTAGAGCTTGGGCTTCACAGTAAGAAGGTCCTGGGTTAGATCCCACCTCCAGTCGGGGCCTTTCTGTGTGGAGTTTGCATGTTCTCCCCGTGTCTGCACAAGTGTCCTCCGGGTGCTCCGGTTTCCCCTACCACCAACATGTGCAATAGTTCAGGGTGAATGAGTTTGACTGCGGGACAACGGATGCAAAAAGCCCAAGGCTACAATCCGTGTTCATGCATTTATTTACATTGTCCAAAACAAATGAACAATAAATTAAAATAAAATAAGTTAAAAGTCTGTTTTCTGGGTCATTCATGTGTTATTTCTCTTTAGCCTCCTGTTTCTGAAACGCCAGAATGAACGAGCCAATCAGACTCCAGCAGAGGGGCGGGGCCAAACCTGTTTGTCCAATCAGAGAAAACCCTCGAGGGAGAGCTGACCTCGCCCAGGTGAGACACCACCCTCTAGTTAACGACGGGAGGTCTTAGGGAGTCCAGAGACCTCAGGGGGGCTGGGTCTTAGGTAGAGTCCAGAGACCTCAGGGGGGCTGGGTCTTAGGTAGAGTCCAGAGACCTCAGGGGGGCTGAGTCTTAGGTAGAGTCCAGAGACCTCAGGGGGGCTGGGTCTTAGGTAGAGTCCAGAGACCTCAGGGGGGCTGGGTCTTAGGTAGAGTCCAGAGACCTCAGGGGGGCTGAGTCTTAGGTAGAGTCCAGAGACCTCAGGGGGGCTGGGTCTTAGGTAGAGTCCAGAGACCTCAGGGGGGCTGAGTCTTAGGTAGAGTCCAGAGACCTCAGGGGGGCTGAGTCTTAGGTAGAGTCCAGAGACCTCAGGGGGGCTGAGTCTTAGGTAGAGTCCAGAGACCTCAGGGGGGCTGGGTCTTAGGTAGAGTCCAGAGACCTCAGGGGGGCTGAGTCTTAGGTAGAGTCCAGAGACCTCAGGGGGGCTGAGTCTTTGGTAGAGTCCAGAGACCTCAGGGGGGCTGGGTCTTAGGTAGAGTCCAGAGACCTGGGTCTGGGTCTTAGGCAGAGTCCAGAGACCTCAGGGGGGCTGGGTCTGTGTCGAACCGTTCGAAAACCTGTCTAATGTAAGTCTAGCTTTTTCCTGTGCTCTTAAACCCAACTCTGCCCAATGTCTCATAATAATCCAATTGTCCAATTCCACAGTTCAGTAGAATCGGCAGCGGCTCCTCGGAAATGACCGAGCCGAGCCGAGCCGAGCTGGTGGAATGACATCACTGCATCTGTTTTCTCTGCTTCATGAGTCTTTTATTCAACCCATTCTCCATCGTGTTCCACTCACCAGAGATACGACTGCAGCTAAACCCTCACAGACCTGTAAGAGGTCCACAGAGGTCTACAGAGGTCTACAGACCTGTTAGAGGTCTACAGAGGTCTACAGACCTGTTAGAGGTCTACAGAGGTCTACAGACCTGTTAGAGGTCTACAGAAGTCTACAGACCTGTTAGAGGTCTACAAAGGTCTACAGACCTGTCGGAGGTCTACAGACCCAGGTCTGGGTCAGGGTTAGAGTCCCACCATCTCCTTCATCCATTACATGTGTTATATGTTGTTGTGCATCCTCATATTTACAGTTTGTTCTTCCTGTAAGTAAGTCATCTTTATTTATATACTGCCTTTCACAGACCAGAGTCACAAAGCGGTTTACAAATGTTATTATTGTTGTTCCTCATGTCATTATGTGACGTTTGTTTGAACAGGAGCCACAGAAAACACCCAGAAAGGAGTCCAAGACCGAGTCCAAGACCGAGTCCAAGACCGAGTCCAAGACCGAGTCCAAGACCGAGTCCAAGACCGAGTCCAAGACCGAGTCCAAGACCGAGTCCAAGACCGAGTCCAAGACCGAGTCCAAGACCGAGTCGGAACCTGCAAAACCAGACCCGGTACCAGGTGTGGACTAGCACTGTCAGAGTGTAGGATGAGCACAAGAGCAGTGTCAGCACTAATACACTTTTCTATTGTTTTTCAGGGCACCTCCCTCAGGACGCCTTTAGAACTGGACACCTGCAAGGTCTGAAACAACAGGCTGAGCAGCTGCAGGGTCTGAAACGGGCTGACCAGCTGCAGGGTCTGAAAAAACAGGGTGACCAGCTGCAGGGTCTGAAACGGGCTGAGCAGCTGCAGGGTCTGAAACAACAGGCTGAGGAGCGCCTGGGGCTGAAACAGGCTGAGGAGCGCCTTAAGAGGGACTACATCCACCGCCTGATCAAAGTGAGTGAACCCAACTCTAATCTCATGACAACAAAGTACTTTGTTAAAGAGGGTTTTGTTGATAATCAAAAACAAAGTGTGTCTTGCTCAAGTGTATGCATGATTGAATATTTGTGGAACCCTCAAAGCTTTTATGAGGTCTGACTCTACAAGTGCACATCTAGAGACTGAAAGCTTTTCCCTTTCATCTTTACATAACTACTCGATCTCATGTGAGTGTAGATGGAAAGCCTTTGGAAGGAATGTTTGAAAGGGGTTGGACGAAGCAGTCGTTATATATGATCAATGGCCTTTCACTGATTAAACAAGAAATAAACAAGAACCAAATACACACAGTGTAGTGTGTATGTCTCCTCTGACCACAGCATGATGCTGCCCACCCTCTGCACTTGTGCGACTTGTTGTAAACTTGTTACTTGTGTGTTTGTTGTGTTACAGGCGTCGGTGGATTATCCAAACCATCAGTACATGTGCGACTTGTGCTGCGTTCACATCGAGAACATCCAGGGGGCGCACAAGCACATCAAAGAGAAACGACACAAGAAGAACATCACGGTAACACAAACATAGACACAGACACACACGCATACACACACAGACACACACACACACACCCATGTGTTCTCGACGTGCTGTTTCAGTGTTCTTCTGCTGCAGGAGAAGCAGGAGGAGAATGCGCTGCGTGCGCTGCCTCCTCCCTGTACGCGTCAGGTCTGTGCGGTGGAGAGCGCGCTGCTGCACACGGCTCACAGCGTGGGCCTGTCACATGACGACTTCACAACACGCCAGCAGACCGTGGAGCGCATGCAGAAGATCATTCAAATACGACTCCCAGGTACAACACTCTGTGCTGAGTCTGTCAGAACACTCTGTGCTGAGTCTGACAGAACACTCTGTGCTGAGTCTGACAGAACACTCTGTGCTGAGTCTGACAGAACACTCTGTGCTGAGTCTGACAGAACACTCTGTGCTGAGTCTGACAGAACACTCTGTGCTGAGTCTGACAGAACACTCTGTGCTGAGTCTGTCAGAACACTCTGTGCTGAGTCTGTCAGAACACTCTGTGCTGAGTCTGACAGAACACTCTGTGCTGAGTCTGACAGAACACTCTGTGCTGAGTCTGACAGAACACTCTGTGCTGAGTCTGTCAGAACACTCTGTGCTGAGTCTGTCAGAACACTCTGTGCTGAGTCTGACAGAACACTCTGTGCTGAGTCTGACAGAACACTCTGTGCTGAGTCTGACAGAACACTCTGTGCTGAGTCTGACAGAACACTCTGTGCTGAGTCTGACAGAACACTCTGTGCTGAGTCTGACAGAACACTCTGTGCTGAGTCTGACAGAACACTCTGTGCTGAGTCTGTCAGAACACTCTGTGCTGAGTCTGACAGAACACTCTGTGCTGAGTCTGTCAGAACACTCTGTGCTGAGTCTGACAGAACACTCTGTGCTGAGTCTGTCAGAACACTCTGTACTGAGTCTGACAGAACACTCTGTGCTGAGTCTGTCAGAACACTCTGTACTGAGTCTGACTGCATGTGTAGAAGTCAGGTACCTGAGCTTTAACCGTGTCCTTGTTGCAGGCTGCTCTTTGCGAATGTACGGATCGTGTTTGACTCGTTTCGCTTTTAAATCCTCTGACGTCAACATCGACGCCAGCGTTCCTCCAAACGTGAGAACTCAGACCTGTGTGTACGTGTGCGTGTGTATGTATGTGTACGTGTGTGTGTGTGCGTGTGTGTGTGTGTACGCTCTGTTTGTGATAAAAATGTTTTAACACTGATTGAAAATGCTCCAGTCTTTGACTGAGAAGACTCCAATCACAAGGAGCCATTTAGAGCTAAACTGTTTTAGATTTAAACGGTCTTAGAGCTAATCTCTGAAATGTTTTCTAAATGTATTTTTGTCTAAATCTAATGTTGAAATGTTGCAGATGACGCAGCCTGAAGTTCTGATCCAGGTTCTGGAGATCCTCAAGAACAGCTGTAAGTCTTGGTTCAGTCTGAACTGTTTAAACCATAACCCTGGTTCCTCTGGGTCAGACCCTGGTGACCTTGCAGGTGTCCAGATGTGTAGTTGTGTGATTTCAGTTGTGTAGTTGTGTGATTTCAGTTGTGTAGTTGTGTGTCTTTCTTGCAGCCGACTTCTCGGAGGTGGAGTCTGACTTTCACGCCAAAGTGCCGACGGTTTTCTGTCGTGACGTTCACTGGTGAGAAGTGTTCAGTCGACCAATCAGAGGCCGTACACAGGCATCAGTCGACCAATCAGAGGCCGTACACAGGCATCAGTCGACCAATCAGAGGCCGTACACAGGCATCAGTCGACCAATCAGAGGCCGTACACAGGCATCAGTCGACCAATCAGAGGCCGTACACAGGCATCAGTCGACCAATCACAGGCCGTACACAGCCATCAGTCGACCAATCACAGGCCGCACACAGCCATCAGTCGACCAATCACAGGCCGCACACAACCATCAGTCGACCAATCACAGGCCGTACACAGCCATCAGTCGACCAATCACAGGCCGCACACAGCCATCAGAACACATGAGAACACAATCAAATCCGGTGTGTGTCAGTTTTTTTGTATATGTGAGCTACTATGTGTGCGTTTGTGTTAAATTGTGTGTGTTGCAAATTGTTTGTGTGATTGTGTGTTACCGTGTGTGTTTGTGTGTTAATGTGTGTGATTGTGTTACAGTGTGTGATTGTGTGTTTGTGTTACAGTGGTCTCCTTTGCAAAGTGAGCAGTGGGAACGACGTCGCCTGCCTCACGACCAATCACCTCGCAGCTTTGTCCAAACTTGAGCCGCGATTGGTTCCTCTGGTGCTGGCCTTCCGACACTGGGCCCGGGTGAGACACTAGCTCCTGATGTTAGCTCTACAGACACACTAGCTCCTGATGTTAGCTCTACAGACACACTAGCTCCTGATGTTAGCTCTACAGACACACTAGCTCCTGATGTTAGCTCTACAGACACACTAGCTCCTGATGTTAGCTCTACAGACACACTAGCTCCTGATGTTAGCTCTACAGACACACTAGCTCCTGATGTTAGCTCTACAGACACACTAGCTCCTGATGTTAGCTCTACAGACACACTAGCTCCTGATGTTAGCTCTACAGACACACTAGCTCCTGATGTTAGCTCTACAGACACACTAGCTCCTGATGTTAGCTCTACAGACACACTAGCTCCTGATGTTAGCTCTACAGACACACTAGCTCCTGATGTTAGCTCTACAGACACACTAGCTCCTGATGTTAGCTCTACAGACACACTAGCTCCTGATGTTAGCTCTACAGAGACACTAGCTCCTGATGACGGCTCCTGATGACCTGTGTGTTGTGTTGCAGCTGTGTCACATGGACCAGCAGGCCGAGGGGGGGCTTCCTTCCTTCTCTTTCGCTCTGATGGTGGTCTTCTTCCTGCAGCAGCGAGATCCTCCAGTGTTACCAGTTTACATCGGGCCCTGGGTGAGTACCCCCGCCCCTTCTGTCCAAACACTTGGTTGTCAAACTCATCTCACAGAATTTTATTTACACATTATAAAAAACAATATTCAACTTCGGAAGCATTTATATTCATGTATTTTCTGATACGCGGATGAGTCAGCAATGAGCTGAGCTTGAACAAAACATCCTCTGATCGCTAACTTGATCCGTTAGGAGGTAATAAAGCAGTACTTACTTCTGAACACTTATTAAAAGAACCATCTAAGCCTTACACTGGGCATATTCTACCTGTGTCTGCATAGGTTTCCTCCGGGTGCACCGGTTTCTCCTACCACTAAAAACATATGCAATAGGTCTGAGAGGAGCCTGCAGGGCCTGCGTGGTCTGAGAGGAGCCTGCAGGGCCTGTGTGGTCTGAGCGGAGCCTGCAGGGCCTGTGTGGTCTGAGAGGAGCCTGCAGGGCCTGTGTGGTCTGAGCGGAGCCTGCAGGGCCTGTGTGGTCTGAGCGGAGCCTGCAGGGCCTGTGTGGTCTGAGCGGAGCCTGCAGGGCCTGTGTGGTCTGAGAGGAGCCTGCAGGGCCTGTGTGGTCTGAGCGGAGCCTGCAGGGCCTGCGTGGTCTGAGCGGAGCCTGCAGGGCCTGCGTGGTCTGAGCGGAGCCTGCAGGGCCTGTGTGGTCTGAGCGGAGCCTGCAGGGCCTGTGTGGTCTGAGCGGAGCCTGCAGGGCCTGTGTGGTCTGAGCGGAGCCTGTGTGGTCTGAGCGGAGCCTGCAGGGCCTGCGTGGTCTGAGCGGAGCCTGCAGGGCCTGTGTGGTCTGAGCGGAGCCTGCAGGGCCTGTGTGGTCTGAGAGGAGCCTGCAGGGCCTGTGTGGTCTGAGCGGAGCCTGCAGGGCCTGCGTGGTCTGAGCGGAGCCTGCAGGGCCTGCGTGGTCTGAGCGGAGCCTGCAGGGCCTGCGTGGTCTGAGCGGAGCCTGCAGGGCCTGCGTGGTCTGAGCGGAGCCTGCAGGGCCTGTGTGGTCTGAGCGGAGCCTGCAGGGCCTGTGTGGTCTGAGCGGAGCCTGCAGGGCCTGTGTGGTCTGAGCGGCCGTGGCTGAGCGACTGCAGGGCCTGTGTGGTCTGAGCGGAGCCTGTGTGGTCTGAGCGGAGCCTGCAGGGCCTGCGTGGTCTGAGCGGAGCCTGCAGGGCCTGTGTGGTCTGAGCGGAGCCTGCAGGGCCTGTGTGGTCTGAGAGGAGCCTGCAGGGCCTGTGTGGTCTGAGCGGAGCCTGCAGGGCCTGCGTGGTCTGAGCGGAGCCTGCAGGGCCTGCGTGGTCTGAGCGGAGCCTGCAGGGCCTGCGTGGTCTGAGCGGAGCCTGCAGGGCCTGCGTGGTCTGAGCGGAGCCTGCAGGGCCTGTGTGGTCTGAGCGGAGCCTGCAGGGCCTGTGTGGTCTGAGCGGAGCCTGCAGGGCCTGTGTGGTCTGAGCGGAGCCTGCAGGGCCTGTGTGGTCTGAGCGGAGCCTGCAGGGCCTGTGTGGTCTGAGCGGAGCCTGCAGGGCCTGTGTGGTCTGAGCGGAGCCTGCAGGGCCTGTGTGGTCTGAGCGGAGCCTGCAGGGCCTGTGTGGTCTGAGCGGAGCCTGCAGGGTTGTTAAGTATCTGTGTTTTTTCAGATCCAGGGCTTCGACCTGAAGCGCGTCGATGACTTTCATCTCACAGGGATTTATCAGGACGAGTTTGTTAAGTGGGAGCAGCGACCGAGTGACCCCCGAGCTCCACGCCCTGACCCTGGTGAACCCCAGAGAGACCCACAGAGGGACCCCAAGAGGGACCTGCAGAGGGACCCCCAGAGGGATGCCCAGAGAGACCCCCAGACCTGCACCGGCTCTGATACCGAGAGCCGGACCAGAGCTGAACCTTGCAGCTGGTCTCAGGGGCTGGTGAGTCACTGCAATGTTTTTTAATTTAGACTAAAATTCAGCGTCAGAGTCATTTTACACAAGTGTAGCTCCTGATGACAGCCCTACAGAGACACAAGCTCCTGATGACAGCCCTACAGAGACACTAGCTCCTGATGACAGCCCTACAGAGACACTAGCTCCTGATGACAGCCCTACAGAGACACTAGCTCCTGATGACAGCTCTACAGAGACACTAGCTCCTGATGACAGCCCTACAGAGACACTACCTCCTGATGACAGCTCTACAGAGACACTAGCTCCTGATGACAGCCCTACAGAGACACAAGCTCCTGATGACAGCCCTACAGAGACACTAGCTCCTGATGACAGCCCTACAGAGACACTAGCTCCTGATGACAGCCCTACAGAGACACTAGCTCCTGATGACAGCCCTACAGAGACACTAGCTCCTGATGACAGCTCTACAGAGACACTAGCTCCTGATGACAGCTCTACAGAGACACTAGCTCCTGATGACAGCCCTACAGAGACACTAGCTCCTGATGACAGCCCTACAGAGACACTAGCTCCTGATGACAGCCCTACAGAGACACTAGCTCCTGATGACAGCCCTACAGACACACTAGCTCCTGATGACAGCCCTACAGAGACACTAGCTCCTGATGACAGCCCTACAGAGACACTAGCTCCTGATCTTAGCTCTACAGAAACCCGGTCCTGGTCCTCTCCTGGTGCAGAGGTCCTGGTCCTGGTCCTCTCCTGGTGCAGAGGTCCTGGACCCGGTCCTCTCCTGGTGCAGAGGTCCTGGACCCGGTCCTCTCCTGGTGCAGAGGTCCTGGACCCGGTCCTCTCCTGGTGCAGAGGTCCTGGACCCGGCCCTCTCTTGGTGCAGAGGTCCTGGACCCGGTCCTCTCCTGGTGCAGAGGTCCTGGACCCGGTCCTCTCCTGGTGCAGAGGTCCCGGTCCTCTCTGGGTTCCGGGTTTGTCTGCTTCACTGCGGTGTTCACTGTGTTTAACCGTTGTGGTACAGTAGGAGCAGCGGCTGCAGTCAAAGCTCTCTGGTGACAGGTGTCTCTCCGCAGAGCTCCCTGGTGATGTCCAGTCCCAACGCGGCCGGCGTGGGGCAGCTGTGGATTGACATGTTCCGCTTTTACACTCTGGATTTTGCTCTGGAAGAATTCATCATCAGCATCAGAGTCAAAGACAAGATGAGCCGAGAGTCCAAGGGCTGGCCCCGCCGCCGCCTTGCCATCGAAGGTACGAGACCGATAATCCCAGCACCCGGACTATGATCCAACTGTAGTCATTCATACACGGCTGTATAATCCCATGTGCCTCAGACTCCTGTATAATCCCATGTACCTCAGACTCCTGTAGAATCCCATGTGCCTCAGACTCCTGTATAATCCCTTGTGCCTTAGACTCCTGTATAATCCCATGTACCTCAGACTCCTGTATAATCCCTTGTGCCTCAGACTCCTGTATAATCCCATGTGCCTCAGACTCCTGTATAATCCCTTGTGCCTTAGACTCCTGTATAATCCCATGTACATCAGACTCCTGTATAATCCCTTGTGCCTCAGACTCCTGTATAATCCCTTGTGCCTTAGACTCCTGTATAATCCCATGTACCTCAGACTCCTGTATAATCCCATGTGTTGTGCCTCAGACTCCTGTTTAATCCCATGTGCCTCAGACTCCTGTATAATCCCATGTGCCTCAGACTCCTGTAGAATCCCATGTGCCTCAGACTCCTGTATAATCCCTTGTGCCTTAGACTCCTGTATAATCCCATGTACCTCAGACTCCTGTATAATCCCTTGTGCCTCAGACTCCTGTATAATCCCTTGTGCCTTAGACTCTTGTATAATCCCATGTACCTCAGACTCCTGTATAATAATAATAATAATGCATCGGTTTTATATAGCGCTTTTCTGGACACTCAAAGACGCTTCACATGTGTCATTATTCATTCACTCCATACACGGTGGTGATAAACTACTACAGTAGCCACAGCTGCCCTGGGGCACACTGACAGAAGCGAGGCAACCAGTATGCGCCATCGGCCCCTCCGACCACCACCAACCATTCACACACACACCAGACTCATTCTAGGCAATGGGGGTGAAGTGTCTTGCCTAAGGACACAACGGCAGTTTGGCACTTTACAGCCGCAGCCGCCCCACTATAATCCCATGTGTTGTGCCTCAGACTCCTGTTTAATCCCATGTGCCTCAGACTCCTGTATAATCCCATGTGCCTCAGACTCCTGTATAATCCCATGTACCTCAGACTCCTGTATAATCCCATATGTTGTGCCTTAGACTCCTGTTTAATCCCATGTGCCTCAGACTCCTGTATAATCCCATGTGCCTCAGACTCCTGTATAATCCCATGTGTTGTGCCTCAGACCCGTTTGCACAGAAGAGGAACGTGGCGCGCAGTCTCAACAGTCAGATGGTTTTCGAGTACGTTCAAGAACGCTTCCGAGCCGCGTACAAGTACTTTGCTGTTCCGCAGACGTTGCACCGTAAAAACCAGGACCGACTCAAACCGAAAGGAGAGACCAGCACAGGCCGAGAGGAGGAGCAGGCAGACCAGGTCCAGTCCGGACTCCAGGACCTCAGGCTGGACCAGACCCAGACCAACGGCCCAGACCAGGACGAGCTCTTCTATGAGTTTGATAAAATGATCTTCACTGGGGGAAAGGTGAGACCCTTCAGCTGTTCAGTTTTAAACTCCATTTTACTGGGGAGAGGTGAGACCCTTCAGCTGTTCAATTGTAATCTCCATTTCACTGGGGGAGAGGTGAGACCCTTCAGCTGTTCAGTTTTAAACTCCATAATAGACAGTGTTCATCAGTGACAGACCTGCAGCTGTGTTTAGTTTCACCACACTGCTGCTCATTCTGGTCATCTCTTATTCCATTTAACCAATATTTCCCACCTGTCTGTGTTGCTCTCTGCAGCCCCCGGTGGTAGTGTGCAGCATCTGCAAGCGCGACGGTCACCACAAAGACGAGTGTCCAGAGGATTTTAAAAAGATAGAACTGAAGACACTGCCCCCAATGAACGCCAGGTTCAGGGAGATCCTGGACAGACTCTGCCGCCTCTGCTACCGTGAGACCGGACTGGGACAGACCGGACTGGGACTGATCAGACTGGGACTGATCCGGACTGGGACAGACCATGGTGCAATACACCATGTATTGCACCATGTATTGCACCATGGCACAGACACACCATGTATTGCACCACGGCACAGACACACCATGTATTGCACCATGGGACAGACCGGACTGGGACAGACCGGACTGGGACAGACCAAACTGGGACTGATCAAACTGGGACAGACCAGACTGGGATAGACCAGACTGGGACGGACCGGACTGGGACTGGGACAGACCGGACTCAGCCTGGGACTGACTGGACTGGAACAGACCAGACTGGGACAAGGACTGGGACTGGGGCAGACCGGACTGGGACTGGGACTGACCCTGTAGAGTGTGTGACTGTGTCTGTTCTAGAGGAGCTGTGCCCGTCTCCGGTCGAGCAACAGAAACGAGAGCAGATTCTCGTGTCGTTGGAGAGATTCATCCGCAAAGAATTCAACGGTAAAACACCAGAACCACACCATGTATTGCACCATGGCACAGACACACCATGTATTGCACATGGCACAGACACCATGTATTGCACCATGGCACAGACACACCATGTATTGCACCATGGCACAGACACAACATGTATTGCACCATGTATTGCACCATGGCACAGACACAACATGTATTGCACCATGGCACAGACACAACATGTATTGCACCATGGCACAGATACAACATGTATTGCACCATGGCACAGACACAACATGTATTGCACCATGTATTGCACCATGGCACAGATACAACATGTATTGCACCATGTATTGCATCATGGCACAGACACAACATGTATTGCACCATGGCACAGATACAACATGTATTGCACCACGGCACAGACACACCATGTATTGCACCATGTATTGCACCATGGCACTGACACACCATGTATTGCACCACGGCACAGACACACCATGTATTGCACCATGGCACTGACACACCATGTATTGCACCACGGCACAGACACACCATGTATTGCACCATGGCACTGACACACCATGTATTGCACCATGTATTGCACCATGGCACAGACACCACCTGTTGTTTCAGAAAAGGCTCAGCTCTGTCTTTTCGGCTCGTCTAAAAATGGGTTTGGATTCAGAGACAGTGACCTGGACATCTGCATGACTCTGGAGGGACACACCACGGCTGAGGTGAAGACCCTGACCCAGACCCAGGCTTAGACTCAGACCTTCACCTTAACCTCCAGTGAAAGTGACTTGGACATCTGCATGACACCGGAGGGACACAAGACTGCTGAGACCCAGACCAAGACCAAGACCAAGACCAGAAGAAGGCCCAGACCAGACCAAGAACCAGACCAAGACCAAGACCCAGACCAAGACCCAGACCCAGACCAGACCAGACCCAGACCAGAAGAAGGCCCAGACCAGACCCAGACCAGACTAAGACCCAGACCAGACCCGTGCTTTAACAGAAGTGTGTTTTACAGGCGCTGAACTGTAAAGAAATCATAGAGAGTTTGGCCAAAGTCCTGAAGAAGCACACGGGTAAGGGGGGCTCTGACGTCAGACGCTGCTCCCTGGCTCTGACCTGGTTCTAATCTGGTTCTGGTTCAGGTCTGAGGAACATTCTGCCCATCACCACGGCCAAAGTCCCAATCGTGAAGTTTGAACATCGACAAAGTGGACTAGAGGGAGACATCAGTCTGTACAACACACTGGTGAGCGATACACAACTGCAACACAACTGCCACACAACTGCTACACACGAGTTCTGTCTTAGTCCTGGTTCTGTCTTAGTCCAGGTTCTGTCTTAGTCCAGGTTCTGTCTTAGTCCGGGTTCTGTCTTAGTCCAGGTTCTGTCTTAGTCCTGGTTCTGTCTTTGTCCTGGTTCTGTCTTAGTCCAGGTTCTGTTCTGGTTCTATCTTAGTCCTGGTTCTGTCCTGGTTCTGGTTCTGTCCTGGTTCTGTCCTGGTTCTGTCTTAGTCCTGGTTGTATCTTAGTCCTGGTTGTGTCTTAGTCCTGGTTCTGTCTTAGTCCTGGTTCTGTCCTGGTTCTATCTTAGTCCTGGTTCTGTCCTGGTTCTATCTTAGTCCTGGTTCTGTTCTGGTTCTATCTTTGTCCTGGTTCTGTCTTAGTCCTGGTTCTGTCTTAGTCCTGGTTCTGTCCTGGTTCTATCTTAGTCCTGGTTCTGTCCTGGTTCTATCATAGTCCTGGTTCTGTTCTGGTTCTATCTTTGTCCTGGTTCTGTCTTAGTCCTGGTTCTGTCTTAGTCCTGGTTCTGTCCTGGTTCTGTCTAAGTCCTGGTTCTGTCTTGGTTTCAGGCGCAGCACAACACCCGGATGTTGGCCACATACTCTGCTCTGGACCCAAGAGTTCAGCTGCTCGGCTTCACCATGAAAGTGTTCGCAAAGGTCTGTGTGTGTGCGTCTTTTTCTTTGTGTATGTGTGTGTGTGTGTCTGTGTGTGTCTTTGTCTTTGTGAGTGCGTTTCTTTGTCTTTGTGTATGTGTGTGTGTGTGTGTGTCTATCTGTCACTGTGCCTTGTCACTTGTCTATATATATATGTGTGTGTGTGTGTTTTCCAGAGGTGTGATATCGGAGACGCCTCTAGGGGGAGCCTGTCGTCTTACGCCTACATCCTCATGGTGCTGTACTTCCTGCAGCAGCGGAGTCCTCCAGTCGTCCCTGTGCTCCAGGAGGTGAGCTCGCCTTTCCACAGAGCTGACCTCTCTCTCTCTCTCGCTCTCGCTCTCTCGCTCTCTCTCTCTCTCTCGTGCTCTCTCTCTGTGTGACCTGTAAAGGTGCATGCAGACCGCAAACGCTGAAGCCCTGCTCACCAGACGCAGAGGACTTCACACCAGAATGTCCTGACGCGAGCCGGGAGTGGCCGGCCGGCTCTGATGCTAGCGGCTTGTGTACAAATCTTCTCCAATAAGATCGCAGCGTGTCTTTGAACAGAGACTTTCCACAGGCTTTATATAACAGTAGTATGTGTTCACGGAGGTGACTTTATATAACAGCAGTATGTGTTCACGGAGGTGACTTTATATAACAGCAGTATGTGTTCACGGAGGTGACTTTATATAACAGCAGTATGTGCTCACGGAGGTGACTTTATATAACAGCAGTATGTGTTCACGGAGGTGACTTTATATAACAGCAGTATGTGCTCACGGAGGTGACTTTATATAACAGCAGTATGTGTTCACGGAGGTGACTTTATATAACAGCAGTATGTGTTCACGGAGGTGACTTTATATAACAGCAGTATGTGCTCACGGAGGTGACTTTATATAACAGCAGTATGTGTTCACGGAGGTGACTTTATATAACAGCAGTATGTGTTCACGGTGACTTTATATAACAGCAGTATGTGTTCACGGAGGTGACTTTATATAACAGCAGTATGTGTTCACGGAGGTGACTTTATATAACAGCAGTATGTGTTCACGGAGGTGACTTTATATAACAGCAGTATGTGTTCACGGAGGTGACTTTATATAACAGCAGTATGTGTTCACGGAGGTGACTTTATATAACAGCAGTATGTGTTCACGGAGGTGACTTTATATAACAGCAGTATGTGTTCACGGCGGTGACTCTATATAACAGCAGTATGTGTTCACGGAGGTGACTTTATATAACAGCAGTATGTGTTCACGGAGGTGACTTTATATAACAGCAGTATGTGTTCACGGAGGTGACTTTATATAACAGCAGTATGTGTTCACAGAGGTGACTTTATATAACAGCAGTATGTGTTCACGGAGGTGACTTTATATAACAGCAGTATGTGTTCACGGAGGTGACTTTATATAACAGCAGTATGTGTTCACGGAGGTGACTTTATATAACAGCAGTATGTGTTCACGGAGGTGACTTTATATAACAGCAGTATGTGTTCACGGAGGTGACTTTATATAACAGCAGTATGTGTTCACAGAGGTGACTTTATATAACAGCAGTATGTGTTCACGGAGGTGACTTTATATAACAGCAGTATGTGTTCACGGAGGTGACTTTATATAACAGCAGTATGTGTTCACAGAGGTGACTTTATATAACAGCAGTATGTGCTCACGGAGGTGACTTTATATAACAGCAGTATGTGTTCACGGAGGTGACTTTATATAACAGCAGTATGTGTTCACGGAGGTGACTTTATATAACAGCAGTATGTGCTCACGGAGGTGACTTTATATAACAGCAGTATGTGTTCACGGAGGTGACTTTATATAACAGCAGTATGTGCTCACGGAGGTGACTTTATATAACAGCAGTATGTGTTCACGGAGGTGACTTTATATAACAGCAGTATGTGTTCACGGAGGTGACTTTATATAACAGCAGTATGTGCTCACGGAGGTGACTTTATATAACAGCAGTATGTGTTCACGGAGGTGACTTTATATAACAGCAGTATGTGTTCACGGTGACTTTATATAACAGCAGTATGTGTTCACGGAGGTGACTTTATATAACAGCAGTATGTGTTCACGGAGGTGACTTTATATAACAGCAGTATGTGTTCACGGAGGTGACTTTATATAACAGCAGTATGTGTTCACGGAGGTGACTTTATATAACAGCAGTATGTGTTCACGGCGGTGACTCTATATAACAGCAGTATGTGTTCACGGAGGTGACTTTATATAACAGCAGTATGTGTTCACGGAGGTGACTTTATATAACAGCAGTATGTGTTCACGGAGGTGACTTTATATAACAGCAGTATGTGTTCACAGAGGTGACTTTATATAACAGCAGTATGTGTTCACAGAGGTGACTTTATATAACAGCAGTATGTGTTCACGGAGGTGACTTTATATAACAGCAGTATGTGTTCACGGAGGTGACTTTATATAACAGCAGTATGTGTTCACGGAGGTGACTTTATATAACAGCAGTATGTGTTCACGGAGGTGACTTTATATAACAGCAGTATGTGTTCACAGAGGTGACTTTATATAACAGCAGTATGTGTTCACGGAGGTGACTTTATATAACAGCAGTATGTGTTCACGGAGGTGACTTTATATAACAGCAGTATGTGTTCACAGAGGTGACTTTATATAACAGCAGTATGTGTTCACGGTGACTTTATATAACAGTAGTATGTGTTCACGGAGGTGACTTTATATAACAGCAGTATGTGTTCACGGAGGTGCGCCATACGTGTTTTCATATTATTAAACAGTATTTCCGCATCGGCGAACACACTCGAAGCAGTTGCATAAAGTCACAGGAGAATGACAACACATATTTTCACAAGCACAGAGTCCCCCATTGTCAGCCCTGGTTTAGTCCTGGTTTGAGTTCTGGTGAAGTCTGGTGTGGGTCCTGTTTTGGCTGTTTATGAGTATTTTCAGTCTGCTCGCTCAGTCCGCTAATGTCCCTGTGACCACTTTGCTGCTCTCTGATTGGTTGTCGCACGAACGTCCCAAAGAAAGGATGAGCAGAATCCATCTCCTGTGGGCGTCCATTTTTCGCTCCTGCTCCTCCCTTTGACTTTCCCGCCAAGTCTGTGCGTCTCTACTGAACAGTCCGTCCGTGCGTGCCGAGAGGTCCGTGCGTTGTGACCAGTGGGGGCGGGTCCCAGCTCAAAAGTGGCCAAAATGACGTGCGCTGACATGTTTGCAATACCACCCCAGGCCGATGGGGGTGGACCCAGAAGTAGAATTAGCCAATGCTAACATATAGCGTTGGCAGACCTCTCAAACGTCTTTACAGGATGGACCAAAAGTTGGCTCTTGGCCCAAAGCTCCGTTCCACATGTGTGTCAATGCTGAGGGGAGTGTTCTGGTCCACTCTAGTTTAGTCGCTGTGAATTTCTGAAGTCTCTCGTTCAAATGAATGGAGTTGCGCCGGCTGACGCATGCGCAGCTGCGTTTTTTCACAATTTTCTTGTGGGCGGGACCACTCGCGGCCATTTTGGATAGCTCCAGTAGAGCACATTTTTTGTCCGTGACTCTGTATGTTAATAAATACAGTCTATGGTTGTGACGCTGCAACGCGCACCATTGACTTTGCGTTGAAACCCGACGCAACGCATGATCTGGTCTGAATGCGCCATAGGAGCAGCTCTCTCTCTCTCGCTCACTCTCTCTCTGACCTGTTAGAGCAGCTCTCTCTCTCTCTCTCACTCTCTCTGACCTGTAAGAGCAGCTCTCTCTCTCTCGCTCACTCTCTCTCTGACCTGTTAGAGCAGCTCTCTCTCTCTCTCTCACTCTCTCTGACCTGTAAGAGCAGCTCTTGCTCTCTCTCTCTCACTCTCTCTCTGACCTGTAAGAGCAGCTCTTGCTCTCTCTCACTCTCTCTCTGACCTGTAAGAGCAGCTCTTGCTCTCTCTCACTCTCTCTCTGACCTGTAAGAGCAGCTCTTGCTCTCTCTCACTCTCTCTCTGACCTGTAAGAGCAGCTCTCTCTCTCTCGCTCACTCTCTCTCTGACCTGTAAGAGCAGCTCTCGCTCTCTCTCTCTCACTCTCTCTCTGACCTGTAAGAGCAGCTCTCGCTCTCTCGCTCTCTCTCTCTCTCTCTGACCTGTAAGAGCAGCTCTCGCTCTCTCTCTCTCTCTCTCTGACCTGTAAGAGCAGCTCTCGCTCTCTCGCTCTCTCTCTCTCTCTCTCTGACCTGTAAGAGCAGCTCTCTCACTCTCGCTCTCTCTGACCTGTTAGAGCAGCTCTCGGCCTCTCTCTTTCTCACTCTCTCTCTGACCTGTAAGAGCAGCTCTCGCTCTCTCTCACTCTCTCTCTGACCTGTAAGAGCAGCTCTCGCTCTCTCTCTCACTCTCTCTCTGACCTGTTAGAGCAGCTCTCTCTCTCTCTCACTCTCTCTGACCTGTAAGAGCAGCTCTCGCTCTCTCTCTCTCACTCTCTCTCTGACCTGTAAGAGCAGCTCTCGCTCTCTCTCACTCTCTCTCTGACCTGTAAGAGCAGCTCTCTCTCTCTCGCTCACTCTCTCTCCGACCTGTAAGAGCAGCTCTCGCTCTCTCTCTCTCACTCTCTCTCTGACCTGTAAGAGCAGCTCTCGCTCTCTCGCTCTCTCTCTCTCTCTCTGACCTGTAAGAGCAGCTCTCGCTCTCTCTCTCTCTCTCTCTGACCTGTAAGAGCAGCTCTCGCTCTCTCGCTCTCTCTCTCTCTCTCTCTGACCTGTAAGAGCAGCTCTCTCACTCTCGCTCTCTCGCTCTCTCTGACCTGTTAGAGCAGCTCTCGGCCTCTCTCTTTCTCACTCTCTCTCTGACCTGTAAGAGCAGCTCTCGCTCTCTCTCACTCTCTCTCTGACCTGTAAGAGCAGCTCTCGCTCTCTCTCTCTGACCTGTTAGAGCAGCTCTCGGTCTCTCTCTCTCTCACTCTCTCTCTGACCTGTAAGAGCAGCTCTCGGTCTCTCTCTCTCACTCTCTCTCTGACCTGTAAGAGCAGCTCTCGCTCTCTCTCACTCTCTCTCTGACCTGTAAGAGCAGCTCTCTCACTCTCGCTCTCTCTCACTCTCTGACCTGTAAGAGCAGCTTTCAATCTCTCGCTCTCTCTCACTCTCTCTCTGACCTGTTAGAGCAGCTCTCGCTCTCTCGCTCTCTCTCACTCTCTCTCTGACCTGTAAGAGCAGCTCTCTCACTCTCGCTCTCTCTCTCTCACTCTCTGACCTGTAAGAGCAGCTTTCAATCTCTCGCTCTCTCTCACTCTCTCTCTGACCTGTTAGAGCAGCTCTCGGTCTCTCTCTTTCTCACTCTCTCTCTGACCTGTAAGAGCAGCTCTCGCTCTCTCTCTCTGACCTGTTAGAGCAGCTCTCGGTCTCTCTCTCTCTCACTCTCTCTCTGACCTGTAAGAGCAGCTCTCGGTCTCTCTCTCTCTCACTCTCTCTCTGACCTGTAAGAGCAGCTCTCGCTCTCTCTCACTCTCTCTGACCTGTAAGAGCAGCTCTCGCTCTCTCTCACTCTCTCTCTGACCTGTAAGAGCAGCTCTCGGTCTCTCTCTCTCACTCTCTCTGACCTGTAAGAGCAGCTCTCGGTCTCTCTCTCTCTCACTCTCTCTCTGACCTGTAAGAGCAGCTCTCGCTCTCTCTCACTCTCTCTCTGACCTGTAAGAGCAGCTCTCGGTCTCTCTCTCTCTCACTCTCTCTGACCTGTAAGAGCAGCTCTCGCTCTCTCTCACTCTCTCTCTGACCTGTAAGAGCAGCTCTCGCTCTCTCTCACTCTCTCTCTGACCTGTAAGAGCAGCTCTCGCTCTCTCTCTCACTCTCTCTCTGACCTGTTAGAGCAGCTCTCGCTCTCTCTCACTCTCTCTCTGACCTGTAAGAGCAGCTCTCGCTCTCTCTCTCACTCTCTCTCTGACTTGTTAGAGCAGCTCTCGCTCTCTCTCACTCTCTCTCTGACCTGTAAGAGCAGCTCTCGCTCTCTCTCACTCTCTCTCTGACCTGTAAGAGCAGCTCTCGCTCTCTCTCTCACTCTCTCTCTGACCTGTTAGAGCAGCTCTCGCTCTCTCTCACTCTCTCTCTGACCTGTAAGAGCAGCTCTCGCTCTCTCTCACTCTCTCTCTGACCTGTAAGAGCAGCTCTCGCTCTCTCTCACTCTCTCTCTGACCTGTAAGAGCAGCTCTCGCTCTCTCTCACTCACTCTCTGACCTGTAAGAGCAGCTCTCGCTCTCTCTCACTCTCTCTCTGACCTGTAAGAGCAGCTCTCGCTCTCTCTCACTCTCTCTCTGACCTGTAAGAGCAGCTCTCGCTCTCTCTCACTCACTCTCTGAC